CCTGTCTGAAAAATTCCGTTTTATTCATTTCTGGCTCTTTTCCTTATTCTTCTTTCTAGGTTTTCTTTTCTTCAAGTATATGTCGTTCCTTATCCAATTCCTTTCTTTTAAATTGGTTTGTACTTCAATATCTGATGCTTCTACACCTTATTCCTGATTTATCTCCTCTACTTCTCTCCACTGCGGGGTCTTCAGTCTCTGACAACTTCCTAATCAGTTTTCGGCCCCCTTCAATTTTCTCGTTTACCAAATTTTAGTACATTATTTACCATCTTTTTTCTTGCCCCTTTAGTAACTTGGTTTCTATATCCATATTCAATTCTTTAATATTTTGCTTCAACCATTCTAATACTAGGATCCTTTATCTATCTACATCCCTCCGTCTTCCTCTCTCAATTTTCCTCTCCCAACCGCTTCCTCATTCATTCAGCAGCCTAGAAAACTACTTCACTCGTCTAGTTTCACTACACCACATCCGGTCATTCTCGAACTCAGGGCACCCATCTAAAAAATATATCCACATTTGAAAATGTCAACACAACCTCCACCTTACCATTTATATTTCTCATTTTTTGTGTTTCTGCTAATTGGAATATTTTAATCCCCCAAACAACTCTAATTGTGCCTTTTGTCATAGACAGTACTTCACTTCGCCTACCCTCAGCATCTCTCCTTTTCATGGCAATCGCCTTCCTAGTAGACCTTTCCAACTTTTACCCCATATATGTATCATCCATAGTTTTATATGCACCTGCATGCAACACTTTACAAGTTCCTTATTTCTTTCCAACTCAAAAGTCTGAAAAAACAATTATTTTGGGAGATGTTGTTCGAAACATCTCTCAAGTACTGATTCTTAAAGATTATTCCGAAAATTGAAGGCATAATGAGAAATTGGTTTTTGTTTTACATATGCTTCCTGAAGACATACATTTTAAGTATTAGCAATTTATTACGTTTCGTAATTTACAAATAAAACTGAAACACATGGTTTACAAACGCAAATATTGTCCAAGGGTTTATTTCAAAGAAACGCCGTTTAACACATTTCAACAGTCAAAACTCTGAATCTTTATAACGACAATTTGTTTTATTTTGGTGTTGAAAAACTGACTAGTTAGTGATAAGGCAGAACGGAAGAATACATTTGTGTCAAAGGATTGAACTTGATCTGAATAAATAAATATTGCGATAAGAAAACCACACCAATTGTAAGAATTGAATTTTTCGTATTTTAAAGAATTTATATACAGTCTTTGAATTGAGAGTATGCGCAACAGTCTGTGGTGAAATATCACACATTCACAATGTTCGCAAATATCACATATAATGGTACCAAGAGAAACTAGTCGATTCAGCGTTCATTGATTCACGAAACACGACATACTTTTAAAAACCGATATTACCAACAATTATTTGTAGAACCTGTTTCTGATGAACTTATACTTATTTCGGCGTTTCATTGAACTGATGCTGCAACATAGCGAAAGCTTCTCAAGCAACAGTTGTTTCCATAAGGAAACACTGTGGTCGATTCAGCGTTCATTGATTCACAAATTTTGGAAGGAGAAGAAAAGTTATAATAAATTATGTGAAGTAATAAAACTCGAATAGTTGATAGGGAACGGTACGATGTTTCGTGTGTAGTCATGTTGCTCTGGTGTAAAAACAGCGTATTACTATACACAATTTTCTTCAAATTGCGACATTTTGAAACAAAATAAAGTTTCAATTGTATATGAATACTCAGGTTATGGATAATTTCATCTTGCTTGGTTCAAGTTGTGTAATGTGCATCTTGTTTATTTTTTACGACAAATTGTTTTGCACAATTGTTTTGCACAATTTGTTTGTGATTTCCCAATTCTGTGTAAACTTTAATGAAACTTCAACCAAAGTGTAACTTGACCTTTTAGTTAGTGTAGACCCCATCTCGATCGTGGTTTTCGATCTGTTCCTCACCGATCCGTGGAAGGAACGCTGAGGTGCCCCTTGTTTGTGCCGGAGAGAAACTTAGCTTACTTCCTCCCAAATATAAAATACGTAAAACGTAAAGTCTGTGTGGTTGTTTTCTTGCAAATCTTAACTCATTGCCCTGATACATACCTATTCGCCTATGACGTTGTCCACCTCACAGGATTTACCTCACCGCCTTTCACCCGCATGCCTCATCCGCCCTGCAATGGCTCTGTTGGCACATTGGCCGCCAAATTAATTGAAATTTGGCGCCACGCTTCAAACAGCCCAGTTTCGCTGCTCTTTGAGGGCATTTCAGAAGGAAAGATACTGCATTTCAAACTCAGGATATAGTCTAATTTGGCTAAAAAAGACGCGCGAATCCCTTCCCAGTTGATCAAATACTGATTTCTTTCGTACAAAGTGGTTTGACATCGATTGTTAACTGCTTTCTGTTAGTTCGAACAGCCACCAAAACATCGCATCAGCTTCTGGCGGCCCCGACGAAGTATGTACTCATTGTCAGATTTATCGGAATCCAGCTTTTTCCAGATGCGGCGGGCTCGCATTGTCATGAAAATTAGAGGAGTCCCGCACAGTTTCGCGGCCATCGTGCACAGAAGCTAAGTGAAATGTGCGCAAATGAATGGGCGCATTCAAAGTACGATTTGGGGCACTGCCAGGCAATACCCTGCACCTTTCTGCAGGCTACCGTGCAGTAAAACGTGAAATTCGCTACGAAAACGTTTAATTTCGTCTGGACAGAGGTAACCATGACAATCTCTTCAATACGCATTGATTCTTTCGGCAAAGTAACAATCTGTGTTAATTATGTGTCGTTTAACATTAACATTAAAAAATCTTGTAGGACAAAGTCGTTTAATAGTAAGAGAATTTCCCTTTTCATCTAAATTCATCACTGTTGATAATACTAGGTTCCATCTGTTAGTGTGATGAGCAAAGAAAACATATTCAGCAAGCAGTCTGTCAAATGTCTGAATTTCTATTATCCCATACGTGGCATCATTAACCCCACGATTCAAATTATGAGCAGTATAAATTAATCTATTTTTTTTCTGAACACCATTGTAAATTCCATTTACAACTGCTGCGCCATCATAGCCTTGACCTTCATATTTTGATAAATCATTATCTTGTTTCTTTATTCAGTCAGTAATATCAAAATACAAGCCTTGTGTTGATCGATCTTCGACATTCCTAAATCCTGTGAAAGATTCATTAATTTTAATTTTAGTCGGTTTGCCAGCTTAATTTTTGTCGATGGTTACATGTAAAATTTAACTTGGATGGTCAGTTTTAATAAGTTTTGCGTTGCGTCTATTATAATAGAAAAACGAAGCTTCAATTATATCTTCTATGATTTTATCAGACTGTCTGATAAAATATAAAAAGTTATTATTTCGTTTAGAATTTGGGGACTCATTTCTATAGCACGAGGTCCCCGGGCGTTGTCCTGTCGGTCCGTATGGAATTTACTCCACTGGGTAACATGACATGAACGTAATTTGAGTCATTTATTTGATTTTTCAAAAATTACACCTTCTCACTCGCTCACTCTTTATCTCACTCGCCGGTACATTACCGGAGATTTGTATACAATACTACATTTGTGAGATGTGCATTAAAGATTTCCATGTATGAAAAATTTGCATTAAATAATTTCTCGAAAACTCGAAAGTTTTCCATAAAAATGAGCTGAAATTTGAACATTTTCAGAAGTGCTCAAACAATATTTTCCTATAAACATCTACATATTTTTTTCATGAAAATTTGCCTGTAGAACTAGGAATCCCAAAAATTGAGAAATGTGGAAAATTGTCTTTTGGGTGCCAATAGATGGCAACTGAGAACATGCTAGGGTAAAACTAAAAATGTAGCCCACTCTGAAGAGGTAAGGAAATTAACTTGTATGAGCAAGTACAAGTATGTATGTGCCAATCTGTAGAATCACTAGTTCCTTTAAATTTTTGAACAGATAGTAGGCCTACTAAATACCCTGGATAACATGATGTAAACCCCGTTTTAATGTATTCTTTTTATTTTTCAAATTTACACAAATATGATTTTGATAAATTACACAAATACATTTTTACTTTCTTACTTACATTTCGCAAGAAAAGAATCAGTGTTCTCATAATACATCCTATTTATATTAGTGTTTAGTAGAGGAAGTAGTAGAAAATCTGGAACTCGGGAAGACATGTGCACCTGCATACATCATATCCAGTGGCGACTGGTAGATGTATAGTATAGATAGATTAAGAGGGGGTGGGGATGCATGCAAAAATAGAAAATGAATATATCATAAGTTCAGTACCGGTGTAGGTCTTTCGCGAGCTTTTACTCGTATGTTGCACTTCTTGAAGAGTTAAGCTTCTAAATTTCACAGTTTTTAAATGTTGAATATTATTACTATTCGTACCACTCTAAACACGAACGTGCTAAATCAGCATGTACTTTCACCCAAAATTGCGCGAATAGTACTCAAATTTATCTATAAGGAACATATTTCAGTAATCAAAAAATATCTATCAATATTTTAGTTTAAGGAAGACTCCGAAAAAATTTTGAACTTTTGCAATTTCCGAAAAGTCAGTCTTTTTAACGAAAATGAGACTAGCATCATTCTCTTAAACGACCTATATGCTATACAATATTAAAATTTAATGACAAACAATTTTTTGAAAATTTTAATAATATCCTAGGGTTTCATGCGAATTATTTGGGCTTATACCACGTATAATAGGATTTTTATTTCTAAATTTAGCAACTGGATTTATTCACTATTTCGTTACCCGCGCCCTGTCATATGAGTTTGAAAAAATAAAAAATTTCCATGTTCTCTACAATTCTCTATTTAAAAAACGTGCACCGGTGTGCACTATCTGTGCAGGTTTTAGTAGATTCAGTGGTGCCACTACATTTTATCTCAGAACATTGGAGTAGTCTTCGTGACAAAAGACGAATGCCGAGCAAAGCATTGGAGCTGCGCGGGAGAGTGCGAAGTTGGTCGTAGTGTAATGATGTTTCTCATGCTGGTTAGAGCTAGTCTGTAAAGGTAAGTTATGAATTACATTATTGGACTTAAGATTCGTGAAATGCCATTTATTGTGTGGTATATGTATATGTGACACGAATGAAATAGATGAACAGATTATAACCATTGCGTGGTGTGCGGTCGCATTGTTACTTGCTGAGCAAGCGTGTTATTACTGTTGTTCACTTTTGTAGTGACGATTAGAAAACCGATAATTATAAATTTCTATGAGTATATGGAGTCTTGATAATGAGTCAGTGAATTGACAGTTGAACTGAAAAGCTTTAGCATAATTCGCACATTGTGATCAAATAGATACATACATATAAGTAATGTAACTCGATGCTTTTCTACATTGTGCGTAACTGATTTCGCCGAGCAAGCGAGTTCGTCACTTCTGTCAGAGGAGCACAATTTTCTCGTGTCTTTCGAGTATAGTTGTAGGTTACATCCTACGACAATTGTTTAAATAACGGCCGCGCTCTGAATCAAATATCAATCCAGTGATGTGATCTATTTACATGATTGGTTTAGCGGCGTAATTTTATTTTTGCCCTCAATTTTCATGGTATGTTTTCATAGTTTTCGTTTGAAGCCTTCTTGAACTAATTCAAAAAAATCAGAAATGTTTAAAGTATGGACGAAACACTGTGACATCACTGAAAATGATTGTTTAATTCGATATCGAAATTTCCAGTTGAACATTAAATATCGAGTGGGCTGTAGGTATGCCGAGAAAATGTGCTGACGTCTCTTACACAAAATGGGGATAATCCCCCCCCCCCCCATATTATAAGGGGCATATGTTATATATAGGGCCAAACTGATGTTTTTTTTCTTCTTTTAAATATTTGACTTATAAATTTTATACAGTAGATTTAGATTTATTCAGTCAAAAAAACTGTATGTGATGAAGGGGGGAAAATATTATCTGCTCACGTTTTCTTGAGTTCCAGAATCCCTTCCTGTCATTTTAATAATAGTTGAAAAATGAGTAAAAATTATTATAAATAAAAATAAATTTTAAAACTCGCAAGGTTAGCAATATTTGAAAAATAGTCATTTTCATTTTAAATTCGATAATTGTACAAACCCTTAGATCAACAAAACCTTTTATTCCCACTTGCTTCTGATTCTCACAAAAACTCCATAGCCACATTCAGGTATGCTCATAAACATAGTAATAGTAGTGGATCTTTTTTGTAATCAGAAGTTGCCACTCTCATTTAAGTTTTAGTACATAGAAAACTTAAGATCAAATTTGTGCTTAGATGGCAAAATGATACGAGACCCAAAATGACATATGTCATGTCTCTTTTAGTTTATGCAAAAACTAATGACAAATTGCAAGTAGACAAAAGTCACAGTATTTTTTCATGAGATCTTGATGCTTAAAATTGCTGACATGGAAAAGTTTTAAAAAGTGGCTTATAACATTTTGCTATCTTTACACAGAAGTATTCCAGGAGTTTCTGTTTGCACTTTGAAATACTTATCATGTCTTTGATTAAGGCTATTTCTGTAATGAACACTTGAAAAAAATGTTACTTTAAAGGGTTTATGGGGAAATTAGGAGTTTTGTTTTTTATTAAGTGATGTCAAAAATTTCATTGTCATCCTACTACAGGAGTGCTAGAACTTACTTTTTTGTTAACATGCATTTGTTTTTAAAATAACTTGTATGTCCATAACTTTGTACTGTGTGTGTTATTGTGACACTGCATTCATTGTACACGTATATTTTGAATAAAATATATTTTTAAGAGTAAATTGTTGCATCAGGTAAACCTGTATTGATCTTTCAGTAAAAGAAAATGAACCATAAGGCCAACGTTTCACGAGAGCCTCTCAATGTACTGGGTTGCCAGTGGCCTGGTGCAGATGAACCTGACTTTCCCAAATCAGCATCAGCTTACTTAATGGGAGCAAAGGCAGGTCATGAAACCAGTACAGCTAACTCCTCTTCTGTGGAGGCTATGGATCTGAAATTAGATAACGAACGTAGATTGCATGAATTGAGAGAGCAAGGAAGACAGTGCCTTCTGAATAGGTTTGTAAATGTGTTTGTTCAAAATATTAGCTTCAAATGATCAAATCTGTTGACACCTCCTATTATTTCTTTCTGTCAGTTGACTTGTGCCTTAATGTTGGTTGGTGTTTTGATATTTTACACGCAGCAGCCATGTGTGTCTATCAGTGGAAGGATATATTATTAATGTGTGTTACTTAATCTTTAGATGAAATAATTTAATTCTAATTTATTTTGAAATAAAGCTTTTAAAGTGTAACTTTACATATTTATGCTCCTAATATTTCAAAATGTTGTTTCAAGAAATCCTTAAATGAGATACGTTTAAAATCAATTCTTACTTGATTAATATTGAATCTAATTTTATTTGCATTAAAGTTTATTCAGAAGGTTATTATTTCTATTCTATTTGATTCTTTATTTCAATTTAATTGTCAGCTCCTTTTTTACAATTTTTCTTTTTTTTACTTAATTACTAGAACAACACTGTTTTTATCACTTCTGTAGCAAACATAATGTAATAGCAGTAGTATGAAATTGAAGAGAAGTTTTTTTAAGAATTGACAAATTTTATTGTATAGGAATTTTACTGTTGTAATAATTTCCCTTTGTGCTGTTTACAATTTTTATTATTTCATAAATTATATTACATCTTATTTTATTTTGTCTTATCTCTATTACATATAAATAGGATTTGATGTGTTAAAATTGTTAATGCTGCCTGTACTTTTTTTTTTTCTCCATAAAATAAATAAAAAGTGTATTTTGTGGATAATGACAGCTGTCTAAAAACACCCAAGGGTAGTTATTTGACCAATAAAAATAATGATACTTTTCTTCTTGTTTCTCTCACACATAGTGTTTCAAACAAATATTAAAAATGTTGTAGTGTATATAAGAGAACAATTTTTGGGTTTTGGTGTACACTTATTTTAGAATTTGCAAACATTGCTAAAAACATGCATATCACTGGAACTATTTGATAAGAAGGTGACGAAAGTGAAACAAACCGTCTTTTGTATGTTTATTTCTTTCTTTGATGACAAAATTTAAGTTAATATATTTTGTGTTAACAGATTTTTATGTTAAGGTATTGCTTACAGAACAGTTTTTTCCTGTTTCAGTGTTGTAGGATAAAAGAATTGGTTGGTGCAGAAACCCGTGGCCATTATTCAAGAATTTGAAATAATTTTCACATAATGTGTTTATAAATGTATTGATTTATATAAACATTTCTCATTATTTGTCATAAACAGTGGACATAACAGCTGGCTGAAGTATTTGATACAGAATGCTATCATGTCCTGGACATACAATGTTTTTATATAAATTGCTATGAACACCTATGTCGTATCTTAATGGAAAGAAAATGGGAATTGTTTCATTCAGAACTTTCTGGGAGATGAAAGTACTTTTCTCCGATGTTAGCCCAAACACAAATAGTGTGACTGACTCATATTGGCTTTGGTAACGAAAGGAAAATGTTATTGAGTGAATCCATCATTATTTTTCCATCAGACAGCAGAGTTACCTGCCTTATAATCAGGATTTCAGTATTGTGAAGGGAACTGTATAAAAGGATTTGAGTGTACTTGCTAATGGAATTCAGAAAATTCATTACCCCTTCTAGCTTCCTAAGTTCCTTCTATGCACAGATCCATGATAAATTAGTTATTTTTTTTCCAATCTTAGGGGTGGTCCATAAATTACGTAACGCAAAGTGGGGGGAAGGCGGTCTAAGGCAGGGTTACACTGCTTTACATAGGGGTAGAGGGCTAGTAGTTAAGTGTTACATAAAATAGATATTTATTGTTTTACATTTTTCAACGTTTGCTGAAATAATTCCTTTTTTGAGTCCTGTACTAAAACCATAAAATTTTAACAAATTAATGTTTTAAAAGCATAAAGTTATTAGTTGTAAATTGCTACTATAAATGGAAATATTTCTTTAACATTTTTTTAAAATCTCTAATATTATGAAGAAAATATTCAAAATTGATATGAAGTATATTCTGGAATCCATTGAAATTGGCGCTGTAGACTCTCACTCTTGCATCATTCAGCATGGCAGATGCATAGTTGGTGATCAAACATTTCATACCCAAGCATTTCTTCTTCATTCACAACATGCCCCTAATCTTATTGTTAGGTGCAGCCAGCATCGCTAACTAATTTCTACTTTAATTATCATTAATTACTTAAATATAAAACACACAAAATAATATATACAAATTGTTTTACTGTGCGATAATTTATTTTCACTTCTTGCCTTTATAGAGGGGGGGAGTTGTCGCAAGTATTACACGATTACCAACGGGAGGGGGGGTTGAGTGCACATTAGAGGGAGTATTGAAAACAATCCAAATTTGCTTTACGTAATTATGGGCAGCCCCTTAAAAGCCAGCACAGAATAAGACAAATGTTCTGCTTGCGAAGCCACCCGGAGTGATGAGGTTAAATTTTTTTGATTGCTGCTTTTCAATTGCAGAAAATCTTGTAGTGTGCATAAAGCCCAATATTTTGTTGATGGATTGCTGGAACATGCTTTCAGGCTTGCGGAACGGGACTTCATTCCAGAGTTTTCCCAGCTTTCCCTTCAGAAGTGGCAATGATTAATGATCGGAAAATGTTCATGTGAAAAAAAAAATTGAGACTTTCCCCACAATCCAAAAATTAAATTGTTTGACTTATTTGGATTCCAAACCCACTTATGTGGCTCAAGAGAAGAAATGCAAGTTCTATTGAATTAGTTTCTTGGACAAGGGTTTCTGAATTTTATTGCATTATTACAGAATTTGAAAGTTTGAGGCACAAACTCCCCTTGTTTAATAATTAGAGATGAATTACTGGATCTCTGCAATGTATTGAAAACAAGCTTCCTGTTCAGCTTTCATTCAGGTGTAAGTGGATTTCCAGTTGTAGCTTTTTCTCTGCAAAATTACAGTGTGTAAACATGAGAGGCATCTGCACTAAGCGTTTCAAATAGTTAAGAAAAAATCATTATTTTGCTAATGCTAAAATTCATGTGCACCACAAAACAAAAATGGTATATATAAACTAAACATATTTTAACATTTGTTTTGAACCTCTGAATAGCGAGGGGAAACGATTAGAAAAAAATTCGAAAAAATTTTTTTTTTTAATGGTCAAGGAATCAAATCACTTTATTTTGGGTGATGCCATTTGGATTGATATTGATGTATGTCAGCTTATACAGTATTTCCTTTGCAGACTTAATTGTCAGACTAGATGTTTGTGATCAATTCCATCCCTCCTTGTTCTGTTCAGCCAAGTTATGGGACTCAAGAGTCTTCCAGGGTTTAACTGCCATGTTTAACTTAGCTTGAAAACAGCAAGAAGAAATAGCCTACTTCATGTTTCAGAAATGAACAAAATACAAAAGAGGAAGGAGCTGCAAATGTGGTGGTGCGATTTCACACAATGCCATGGATAAATAACCCTCTGAATCCACTCTCAGAGCTTGCAGCAGGGAATTCTCGACCAAATAGGTACATATTCTATTGAAGCGAGAAATAGGTTCTGTCCAGATGTGGTTGAAAAAACAGATTTTGTTGAGCAGATCATATCTTTTTACTTGAATTATAACTGAAACCAGTAGTTGGAGAAGCTTGAAATGTTGAAGTCTTGTACGTAACCTTATGTTCATATTTCGAGTCTCAGTATCTGCAGTTGAGAGCTGTCGAACCAAAAAACATTTAATGACTTTGTCATGGCATACATATATTAGTATGCTTTGTCATGATAACATAAAAAAATAAATAAATAAATATATATATATATATATATATTTTTTTTATAAAAATATATATATATATATATATATATATATATATATATATATATATATATATATATATATATATATATATTTTAAGTTCATAATAAATACACAATGCAAAATACATATAATGCTCTTTAGTGTCAAATTTACTGAGCACAGGTTTGCTTTTACACGAAATAGAAGTGTTTAATAATTGCTTTAGATTTGTACTTGTGGATGTGTACTTAATGGAGTGTATGCATTCATCACAATTTGCTTTTTAAGCTGCTAGCTGTGTTTCAACCTCCTATTGGACTGTTCACCTTGTTACAGAGCGTTCAGGGCAATTGACAGTTTTTCTTGTGCCGATCAGCTGAGTTGCAGTAACGGCTGTCTGGCTTTTATTGTTGAACGATATTGCATTGCCAGAAGGTTAGAAATAGTTTTCATGAGAGATTCATTTTATTCTGCTATAATTAATGATAAAACGATTTAAATCATCTCAAAATGATGTTGCTAACATGTGTGGCCAAGTGAATTAAAACATCAGACTGGAGAGTGATGTCGACTATACTGCAAAACCCCTATGTAGACCTTGTGAAAACTATCGGAATTTTGTTGGTACTTTCTGGTCTTGCATATTCAGAATTCGCAGTAATTTATGTGCTGTATGTTTTACAATTACGATAATTAATGTTTATAATTTCTATTTAGTATTATTCTTATTAAGTCCTGACATTGCCAGTGTAACAATTATTAATCATTAACATATAGATTTGGTTAGTTAACCATAAAATACATAAATAAAATATTTGTTCAATTATTCTTGACAAAACAATGCTTAATGGAAATGTTAGAAATGTAACATGAATCTACCATTAATTGCTATTTAATATTACTTGCTTTTATTTTCATAATTTTGGGTTGTGCTGATTATTCAACTGTGTAAAATATCAGGTCTTTATCTTAACATGCAACCGATGTCTGGAAAACCCACTTCTTGTTTTTGGCAATTTGGCAACCTGTGGAATACCTTCAGCCTCTCATTCGCTTTTAGCTACCTCCAGCCGCATGTCCTCAGATTTTGGGTTGAGAGAATGTGGCTAATTTGCATTGGAGCAAAGAAAAAACACTTCTTCTGTCCTTGTCACTCTTCCACATACTGCAGCCACTACACTGATAAGAGTAAACGCCTGTCTCTTGGCAAATGATGGTCATTATGAATATTTACTTGAAGATTAGCTTTTTTGACATTTTAAGGAAATTATTTTCAATAATTATTAATTTACTACTTATTTTTGTTTTATTAATATTTTTAATTTTATTAAGACTTTCTTATTTGTTTAATATGCAGATTTGGTAAAACATTATTATTGCTGTAAATAATGAAGAGCTTAGTGGTAATGTTTCATGAAATATCTTTCTGATTTCTCTCTCAGCTTGCTTTTTAAAAATTAAAATTATTGTGTTGCTGCTAGTAAATCAATAAATCATAACTTTCCACCACTCTCCCACTTCATTATTACAGTTTTGTTTCTTAAACATACTGGACAGAATCGCCTAAAGGGACATTTTGTTTGCCTGCTTATGTCTCTACCTATCCTACCCAATCCACCCTGTGCGAGGATAAGAGATTCAGATTGTGAGCCACATACCTGCCTGCTTAAACTCTTAAATGAGGAAAACACAGAAACTCGAAGGTTGCTGCAGCTTATGACATTATATTCATCTCCTCCTCTGCTGTCTATACATGCCAGCCACGGTTGTTTTGAGAGAAGTCGGAGGTATGTGGTTGCCAAATTGCCAAAACAAGAGCAAGTGCTCTCAAACTTGGGTTGTGAGATAAAGACTCTGTATTCAACCATGTTCAAAGGTTTCTGTGAGGAAAATATTCAAGTTAGTAAACATTCTCTGAGTACTAATTCGGGAAACACACACTTCAAAGAATGTTCAATAACTTCCATGTAAGATTCTTAAATGTGGAAACCAACAATCAGTTCTTAAGATTTAGATAGTACATCAAGGGTAAAAATTGTTTAGTTCAACCTATTAAAAGGATATTACAGGATGTTAAATAATAAATTCAAATTTATGAAAGGTGTATCCTTTTTCATTTTTACTATGAAAATTTTAGACGTAAGAAATGAATATTGAAAGGTTTCATATCTTCAGTAACTTTAATTTTCTGCAAGTAAGTCGTTTTGAAGATTGGTGCAAAGGTAATGTAAAGCAAACATGAGTGAAAAATAATTCCCTTTGTTTCTGCCATGGTTTCTTTGAAAGATACAACTGTTCCCCTGAACCTCTTCGAAGTTTAACAAATTTTATCCATTTTGATTAATTAAAGTCACACCTATAAAATTGAAATCAATTTTCTAAGTACTTATAGAACATACAGTCTAAAAATCCATGGCCCACTATTACCTAGTTCCATCTCATTCTACCATGATGAGAAAATGAAAATCATCCATTTGAAATTTGATAAAAAAATGAACAATATTTGTATTGTTGCATCTCATTTAAAAATACTTGATTGTTGAACGTTGATTACTAGCTGTATTGACCATTATGTAAATGTTCATGTTGCTGACAATCAAGGTACCGATCTTTCAGCCACTTCTGAAACACCACTGTTGGTGTAGTTCCTTAATACTCAACTGCGCCTTTTGACTTTGAGGGAAATAATAATTCTGTGTCTTCAATGAAATCACCTTTATTTAAGAAATATATACCTTTTCCATTTGTATAAACTTTTGCTGAATTACCACTCTACTCATTTATCTTATCATGGCCAAGAGGCAAAAAGTAAAAGGTTGATTGTTAAAAAAATATCTGAAATGATAAATCAAAATAAAACAATATTAAACCACAAAGTGGGGACTTAAATCTAGACCAGGAGTATTCATGGTACAAGCAAGTCATTACACATGTTGTCTTGACATGTCCTTCATTCACTTATTTGTTGTGTTTCATATCTTTCAATGGTAAATAATTCAGTAGACTCTTTGCTTCCCTTTCAAATTGTCTATAACTCAAATATACAAATTTCATACCTTCGTTTATTTCATCACAAAATTGGATCTTGCAACTACAGCATCATTTCGTTTCATAAGTACTGTATGATTGTTTGTTCCATTTAAAATGTCACAGAACAGAAAAGACAAGAAGCATACAAAAGCCCCTCCAAACAAACACAATTCCTGTTAGCCGAGTCTCTCTTTTCTATAGCAAACTCTCCAAATTTTAATTGAATAGTTATCGTAAAATACTAACTTTTAAAAATAGGTATCTTGAACATAGTTTCAGAATGCTTGAACATTTTATCACTGTATTAAATTATTTTCATTTAACTTTCTCCTTCGTTGGCAATTTAATATGTTGTTCAATGGCTCCAAGACAAGATACTCAACATTGGTAAAACAAAAGCGAATCATTTCTGTGGGTTAATCACTGGCCATGCCCCTTGCCATGATCACTGTGGTTTGGCAACAATAGCTGTTAAAAATATTGGTCACATGGTTGAACACTGTAATTACAAAAGAAAATAGACTCCCATCCTAATAAATGAGAATATTTGTGGAAATATTTGAAGTTTTACAGTGAGCTGATTTCTCATTTAGTTCGCCATCCTTGATTGATCTTTCCTTTTTTAGTGTGTGTGTGTGTGTGTGTTTTAATGCTTTGACGCTTTTCACACCAAAGTTGTGTGTGCTATTATTTAGCTTATTAACCTCTTTACCTCCAACAAATTTTTCTGTTTTTTTGTGGCAAGTTTTTACAATTATTATGTTTTTACCCGAACTTAAGACAAGTTTTTCTTTTCCGAAACATCTCAGGCAAAAATGGGGAATCGCCTTATATTCGCAGATTAAGTGCAGTCGGTTAGGGCGTAAGTTTTTACCTTGCCATCCCATGTCACGAAACTCGTAAATGTTGACATAACTATAAACTGCGAAGACGGTGGAAAGATGGGCGTGATACACGCCGCGTATGTACTATGTACGTAATTATATTGGCGTTTGTGTTCTCGGTACCCACCGCGAATATGCCTGGCAATTAAGACCGATGTCTTTGAATGGGTGTGAAAAGAGAGAATTCAAAACGAATGGCATTGTATGAATTGAAATGTATCGTGAAAATGAGTACTGAGGGCTTTTTACACAATGCAGTTAGATAAGGCCGCGTGGAATCTCTGTTCGATGCCTGGTGAATGCGAATGTGTGTTTTGGACAGTTTAAGAAACGGGCGATCAACAAGTGCGAGAGAGATAGAAAGTTTGGAGACATAGAAGGGAATGTTCTTAGGTGTCTCATAAAATACTATTTAGTTCAAAAAACATTTAGAAGGCCCTAAAATGTCCATATCGTAGCATGGAAGGAGGACAAAAAAGAAAGAAACAAACATTGATACATGTGAAGAGGATAAGAATAGTGCCAAAAGCCATGATTGTGATTTTAAGGAAGAAGAAAATGATAGTTCAGCAATAAGTTATAAGATTCGCATCAATGGGGCAATTTTCTGATCAATAAGACAATTTGCAATTTTATTTGGACTAAGTAGTAAGAATTAGTTAAAAATTCAAAAAAAAAAAAATCTCAAGAGGCCTCTACAAAATGTGGGGGTTGTTGTATATTCAGAGTCGACTTATATTCGGGTAAATAAGGTACTATACTAGGATTTATTTAACTATGCACTTGATGTGAATCAGCTGTTCACGATTTCATGCAATCGGAAGCTTGAACACCCCATAGTAAAGATACTGTAGTGACATATGAGCTCCCGATTGGATGAAACCCTACCAGCTGATTTACTTGTGCATGACAAATAAATCATACTGGTACATATGCACATGTCAGAAAAATTTGAATCTGTGCTCATGCAGTGAATCTTGCATGAAATTGGCTTTCTTTGTATATTTGTTGTGACATTGTGAAAATGGATCCTCCTTCAATGTGCAAAATTCCTCTTTCTGAGAGTTAGTTTTACTGTAACAAGTTTCCTAGTGCATTGTTCTAGCCTTAGGATTGAGCATTCATCTCTCTTTGTATATTTCAAAAGAGGTTTATGGTCACACAACCACCGCTCAACTTGTATTTGTAACATTGACAAAGTCAATTGAAGATATGCCGTACGACGAAGATATGCACTTCATTTGAATTGGTTCAGGCTTTTTCAAGTGATAGCTGATGTGTTAGTAGGATCAAAATTGCAATATAATTATTTTACATGCAAGAAAGACTGTGCTGTTGTAGATCCTCTAGCTTCGCTTTTTCCTCAATTTGTTTGTCCTCTGATGTGGTATTGAAATGTGACATGAAGAATTTCGTAGAAGAGTAACACATTGAACATTTTTCTGAAAATGTACAATTTTTTAACTTATTTTCACAGAAAATGACAGTGTTTGCCTGTTTGTCAGTCATTCTCTGCATATGTGTGTCTCTCATTCTCTTCAGTCTCTTCATCTACCTGTCTGTGTCTCTGTCTTTCTATTCAGTCTGTGCATCTGCCCGCCCGTCTGTCTGTCCGTCCGTCCGTCTGTCTGTCTGTCCGCCCGCCCGTCTGTCTGCCCGTCTGTCTGCCTGCCCGTCTGTCTGTGTGTCTGCCTGTCAATTTGTGCGACTGTTCCTTTGCATGTGACTGTCACCATCTGTAATGTCAGGTTAACTTTGAGAGTCAGATTTAACTTTGAGAATCATGAAGCCCTGTACATTTCAGAAGCTTAAGATTACCTTTAGAAATAGGTTAGAAATTGAACATTGGGTGCAGTTTCAAGCAGTTTGATAGCAGAAGAAAGATTTGTGCTCTGTGTACTGTTCACAGTACTGTTCACATTGAATCTTAAATAAAAATATCATGAAAAATTAAAATTTTACCACCGGAAAGGTTTGTGAATTAAGAAAATTTGAATTCTGTGCAACAGCCCTATATTCCAACAGAATTGCATATTGTTTAATGTTTTTGAGTTCTACAACTTATTTTCAACATCCTATTACAAATTATTTATCTTTATTACTAAGCATGTTAAATTTATTGCACACATTAATTTTGACTTTGTTCTGCTAGAGCTGTTAACTACAATCAAGTGAATCTGGTTCCTGTCAAGCATGATGAAGAAGAAGAGTACTTTCCGGGAACCCGACAGCAAAAGAGAGCTCGACGCCCCAAGAATGTGCGTGCTAAATGTGAGACTATTAAGTTGGAAGAAGTACCTCCAGGTCCCAAGGACAAAATTTTTCCGGGTAAGATCATTTTAAAGTAACTATCCTTTATTGCCATTATGTGAGTTTGAATTTTTTTATGCCATGTTTGAGTAATACAATATATGAATAAATAGGTGGTGAAAATTGTGAACATATTTTTTAAAAGGTGTATGATATTGAAAGATCTCATATTTAAAAATTTATTTTTAAATTAAATGCTGTATATATCTTTGTTTCTGCTACTTCTAGAGTTTTTTTGCGCCAATTTCAAATTTTTCAACTGATAAAATTGGTTTTAATTGTTTTTTTTTTTTTTCACTATCATCCACATGGTTTAAAATATGAAAAAAATATATGCAATAGAATGTTCTGGGGNNNNACTGCTTTTATTTTAAAGGATTTTTTTTCTTTCTATTTGAATTTGGTGTCAAAATTAGTTGTAAAAATTAACTTCACATTCAACTATTTTCCCCCGTCCTCCCATTTTTTTCAGCCTAATATATGCAATAAAAATGAAAAAAACAAACAACATGAAAAACACGTTTCCCGTTGTAACTGCAAAAGATGGCCCTACGAGGCTGATTTTGGGGGAATCAACGGTGTTTTTTTTATTCACTTTCATTAGAGCATGATGGTTATCGATTTGGTTTGGGAGTGCTTTTCACCGCCTTATTCGGCTATATCCTTTTCGGCAGAAAAAGCTCTTATTATGGGGCCCTGACAACAAAAAAAGTGGATACACGTAGACGCAAAATTTAGGAGGAAAAATCCCAATAACACGTGGTGTAGTCGACAGCCATGTTTTGTAGATCCTTGAAAACAAAAAATCGATGGGCGGCAAAACGTCCGTCCGTCTTTGAACAACGCAAGCGGCTAAACCGTTCAGCCGATTTTCTCCGAAATTGATATTCCTCAATCGATCTGGCAGATATCGCTATCCTTTCAATTTTAAACCGATGTTTTTTGAGGGGGTGACTTACATGAAGACGCTGGGTCATTTTCAGAATATCAAAAAAATGGCTCCACCGTTTTTGATTAATTTTTTTGCTGGATAGTGTGAACGACATATAAGGGAGAATGGTGCATGTCTCAATTTCGTTGGTGATTTTTCGAAAATTGCAAACATTTTTCGACGTCTTCCTACAACTAAGCTCTTCAAGATTGAGATTTTTTCCCCAAATAAATGTGTTCCTTGAATATAGATTGTAAAATAAAGTCGTGCACAATTTTTCGAAAATATGCGTTTTTCACGTTATTTTGCATAAAATATAGACATTATTTAATTTTGAAACAATTTTTTTCTCAAAAGCGATTCTATCATTTTTGATAAAATTTTGTTGTGTGCTGATAATGTTACAAATGACTGCCTTCATAATAAAAGTAACAAATAATTAAATATTTGAGGATTGTTTTAAATAATTAATAAGATGAGGAGGATAGGAAGGTTCCAAATGTATGCCCAAGTGGAGAAATGAAATCAAATATTAAATATTTTTATAAATAGAAATGTTACTCTACAATATGACAATATGTATATCTTTGGATTTGTCTTTGTACGCTCGTCATGAGGCTAAAAAATACGTGTAGTTTCACTGACAAAACAAACGAAGGTCATTAGCACCATTCCCTCATTATTTTCATGAAAACAACCTTACAATAACTTAAACCGTTCAAAAATTACCGTGATAGGTCTTTTTGCACATTTTCGTGCGCTTTGCCTGGGTTGAATGATGACTCAACGTTCAATTGGCACACCCACTCTTTAACATTTTATACTTGGATGTTGTGCATCGTTTCACAATTTTAAAATTAGGGTATAAATTAGTTCTTCATTAGAACAAAATTCTGGTATATTTAGTTTGTTCCGTGCGTTTTTTTTGTGCGAGTATGCCAACTTCATGTTTCGTTAGCGCGCCCACTCTTTAAGTGTGGAATGTTTTGATGTTCTGCATTGTTTCCTAATGTTTAAATTTGGGTATAAATTAGTTCTTAATTAGAACAAAATTCTGGGATATTCTCTTTCAATTTTGAAATATGTGGGTAAGCTAACTTTATGGACATTGACGATCGCTCACTCGGCCAAATGCTCCTTCAGTCCATAAAGCCACTGTTGTTTCCTCTTACTCCTCCAGCCCCGCGGCAGCCTACGATGGGCTCTACTCGTTCGTAATTCCCGAGTGTGCGTCAGCTGGCTTTTACAAAGGCACTGGCTGCGGACTGTCAATTGCTTCTTCCGAACGGCGCGTGATTTGAAATTTCACGATTCGGAAACGCTCTAAGAGGACTTGTATTGCCCTCTTGTTTAGAGATATTTAAGAGAAATTCACTGAATTAATTTTGGGTGTGCACATGCAAGCCGCTCTTGCGAATAGGCACGCCCCGCCAGTGCTTTCACTTCACCCACACCAGTGATGGCGACAGCGTCTGCATTGGAATTCGCGCCTACGGAAACCCCTGCCCCAGTCTGCCCTAAGAGACCATTTGGAACAAGCGATCTGCGTTACGTGTAATTTATGGACGGCCCCTATGTTAAAAAAGAAAATTATAAACTAGTAGTGCTACAACTGCGCATACTTTCTCGTCATATTGTTAATAGCTAATTGGTTTTGAAACTTAAAATTTTGAAATTAAATTTATGTTTGCATTTGCGATCCTTGTGCATTCTTCTCTTTGCTACCCTGCTACCCTCCTAGTCCGAAACTCGGTGAGGACGGAACGGTAATTGTTTTTGTTTTTTTTCTTTTTTTTCTTTCTTTTCCGAATGGTGTAAAGGTGTGCGAAAAGTATGTAAAGGTGTAAAACTAGTGGTATCAAAAATATTTTTGAACACGGGGATAGGCTAATCGGGGCAATGGCGGCTATTTGTTGCGCCATCGCCACAGCCGCGCAAACCCGCCGCGCGTGGGTAGATCTCGTGGGTAGGTACAAGAATGATGTGTGAATGTAAAAAAAAATTTACCGACCCACATAATAACAATTTACGTAGTATATATAATATAGTATAACAAAACTGATCTTAGTGTAAGTTAGTAATGCCAAAGTGCAAGTAAGTTGACTTTGGGTCTAGAATGTAAAATTAGTTGTAAGAAATAGCCCCTCCTCTAACTGCTTAAGTCGTAAGGCAGCAGCAAAATGTATAAAAATTCAAACAATAAATTCCCCTTCTTCACAGGGTTACAGTGGAGGGGGCAAAAGAAAAGAGAGAGAGAGAAAAAAAAGAGATCTCCATTCCAACCAATGCTCTGCTCGGAAGCGCGCAGCGGTGGCGCCGTGTGAAGTTTTCTGTGTATAGTCGTCTTGGCTGTGGTTTTGGTTTTGCCTCGTGTTCCAAGCGAGTCGTGCGCGGGCGTGTCCTTCGAAAGTGGGTTGTGGGGGTGGCGGGGCCGTTGGCCAGCAGCTGTGATCCCGCCGCCGTTGCTTATACGAGGGATGGGGGCTAGGCCTCACGGCACGCTCTGCGCCGCGCGCGGGGGTGCACTCGGCGACTTGTGGGTGGGGGAGTTGGCCGCCTTGGCCGCGACATCTTTTTTTTCAACTTTCCCCCCGCCAGTAGCCCTGCCGAGGCGGGAGTTTATTTTCGTGTTGGGGTACATGCGCCGCAGCTCTTTGGCTTATGCGGCAAAGAAGGGGGCAGTGATTACTTACTTATTTCTAACTTAACCAATGGATGAAGCCGGCAACCTAAGATTAGCACAATACTTTGTATTTTACTACATGTTTGTTAGTTTTAGTTTTCTTGGATTTTTTTCCATTCACACGCACATTCACACTAGGTTCTATTTACACTTGACACGCGCACTTTCACACGACACTACATCCTGGGATCCGTTTGGGGCGTTGACGGTGGCGGCCGGCAGGCTCGGTACGGCGAGCGGGTCGAAGGAGCAAGGGGCGTGTATGCACGGTTATTATACGCCACAACGCCCCCAAGTCTTTGTGCGGACTGCAAGGGTGGCATTTGGCGCGCGGGCGGACCTCCTTCAACGCAGCATGTCAACAGCAAAACAATTTAAGTAACAACGATTGAGAAAGTTTTTTTTCTTTTTGAAACTTTTGGAAATGTCTCGGAGGCTTCTTGTAAATTACTTCCCAAAAATGAAAACACCGGTTTTAAAATGAAGAGGCCGCGACATAAGCTAGATCGATTGGGGAATATGAATTTCGGAGAAAATTGCCCGAACGGTTTAGCCGCTAGTATTGTTTGTTCACTGACAGACGGACCGACATACGATTTGCTGTCAATTCATTTTTCGCTACCAAGGACCCACAAAAAATGGATTCTGGCTATACCACGTCTTAAGAGAATTTCCACACTAAATTTAGCAACTGGATTTATCAATTTTTTCGTTACCAGGGCCCTGTAATAGAGTTTTTTCTGCCAAATTGAACATGATATTATTTGAAGATTTTTTTTTGATGAACACATTTCATTGAAAATGTTTATCTTCACAATTGTAGTTGTAGGAAAGGCTGAAAAAATCTGAATTTTAACCATTTTAAAAAATCAGACATTTTAATGAACATGAAATTCCATTCCCTTAAGCATTATGTATGAGAACCATTCCCTTACGCATTATATACTTTATTGGAGATTGCACTATTCTTTTAAGTATTACATACTTTATCGGAAGTCAAAATTTAATCAAAATTTTTGGTGCTGTCTTTCACAATCAGGAAAACATTTTACAGATAATACAATAAATTTGCATGTGAATCTTACATTGTTGGCCAAAGCGCCGGATCTTCCATACATTCAGTGAGGTAATATAACAGCACTGTCTCCTTTGCCGCAAAAGTCAAAGAGGTAGAGCGTAAGTATTGCTCATGACAAATGACCGCCTCGTCAGGGCTACTGGCGAAGGTAAGGTAAAAATTATATTTTGATGTTCTGCATCGGTCCAACATTTTTTTAATGTGGGTATAAATTAGTTCTTAATTAGAACAAATTTCTGATGTATTTAGATTTTATTTTTCATGCGCTTTTCTTGGGTAGATATGCTAACTTTACGTCACGTTCCCACTCTTGTGTTGTATATTTTTATGTTGTGTATCGGAAGAAAATTTTTAAATTTAATTATAAATTAATTGATAATTAGAACAAAATTATGGGATACCCTTTTTCAGTTTTGTGAGAAGCGGGTATGCCAACTTACGGACATGTCTCGAGGAGGTAACACTCAGCTAGCACAAGTTTGTAGAAGTACGTGGGGCATTGAACGAAGGAAGTGTGAGATATCTCTCCACTGAAAAGAGCTCTCATCCCTTCCCGTTGAACAGTTCTTCGCTAGCGCGCGAAATGCAAACGCATTGCCGTACAGTTACATTCATACGAATTGTGTTAATATAATATTATAAGCACTTTCTCTTATATTTTGCGTGAGTTGCAATTACAAATTCATTTCGAATTAATGAAAACTCAAATGAATTTTGTACACGTATGTTGTTGGCTTCTTTTTTTAATGCATTTTGAAAAACCGAAGTTACGAAGAACGACGATGAAGTGAAACAGCTTCATCCCGGTTTACCAACACATCGTGGATTAGGGCTCGCATATGGTAATTCAGCGATCTTTATTAAAGTGCGTGGAAGAATTTTATGGGCATGACAAAGTGTTGGCATAATTTTTTCATTAGACGTTTGGTTTGCTGATCGAAAAAATTGCAATATCCAAGCCAGCTCTCGGCCAGTCCGCATATTTCATTTAAATCTGCCGCACCCAGCCAGCAGCCGGCCCGCCACACAGGGGTGCATTTTGCCGAAATCCTGGCCAATATCTCGAAAACGAAATCTCGTTTACTCAATTTTTGCGCCTACGAAGACACTGTGGACGCACGTTTCTGCCCCTCCGTGGCCCTGGGTCAATTCCCCTGGCGCCAGCGGCCACCCTCTCCCCTTCGCGGGTTCCGTGGGGGGCACAGAGGGCGCCTTTGTTCGGAAGGGGTTGCTCAGAATTGTGAAGATTACGCTGCCAGGATGAATCCTCTGCCAGGTTTGCTGAGTATTTTCATACACATTTCATCACACAATATTGCAAGGATGAAATATTAGAACGCGTAAAATTAATACTACAATAATTTTAATTACTGGTAAGTTCGCGTACACTGATCGTTACCAATTGCGCGATGTTTCTGTCATTTATTAGCTAAAAATATCCTCTTTCGTATCCAGTTGTTAAAACAGGCCCCAACGTGCCCCGTTCGTAACTACAAAGAATTAATTTTCCTCGAGCGCACGTGACCTTTGAACATGACAAGCGGCGATCCGTCCTGAGAATAGGAACTGCTTTTGCAACGCAGTTCCTGTGGAAAACATTTTGATTTTTCACTAAAATAAGAGTTTTTATTTTTATTTTTGCAATGTATTTTTTTTATTACTAATGTTACGGAAACAAAATACTACATAAAGATAATATTTACGCAATACGTCTTTTGAAAACGTCTTCAGCAAAAGGTCTTCTCGATGAGATGATAATATACACTTAATGTCATCATCTCCTCCATCGTTTTTTCGAAACGCGTCGTAAAGTGCAATTTGTCAAAATATAGTGCCATCCCCCAGAGGCTTCACTCCCAACGGGCGCTGCTTAGAGTACGAACAACCTTAATTTGAAGTCTCCTGGCAGGAGGTGCAAATTGTATGCTTGTCGTGGGCGCTAGGGATGCGCGATTATTAAGTAATCGATTATTTTATTAGATTAATATGCATCGATTAATCGTTCCGAATTAATAAATATTTTACGATTCCGATTTACAAATTACAATTTTATTTATCGATTAATTTTTTACATGTTTTAAATAATGCGAAAAATTGTTACATTTTAAGTTTTAAATGTTTCCACACATCGCCGTTAATTTATGGCATGCACGACATGATTTAAATGTTAATATTTGTGTATTATTTAATTAAATAATATTCATTCCACACATGTACTTATGAGAGAAGCTTCTGCGAACCGGATTAAACTGACTTTTCCACTCGTGAAATTAAAACCAAGTGTTTAGATTCATACAAAATGCTCCGATCAGGGCGGTGTACATTCAAAACGTTTATTTTTTATCCGATATTTCTTACTGCTTCTTCCTACTGGTCAATCACAAACTGTGACTCATCTATCTTTGGAGGCGGTATACATCGATCGCTATGTGGATATCCAATAAACAGTGAATTATAACATAACCCATTTGATTTTAACATAGCTTTCAGTTATTTTCAATATTTCGCACATTTGGGAACTCTCGTTGGACTTAATTTCACTTGTGGAATAGTTCTGTGGAAATTCTCATATAAATTTATCGACAATTCCCAAAGCACTCGTGGTATTACGTATGTTGTAGAATTTCTAGAAACTAAAACCAATTATTGTAATCTATGTACACGATTGATGGTGATTCTAGGAAAACAGGTAATTCTGTCTTTCTTATTTCATACTGAATATAATACAATCACAAAAATATTAGCACATACAATCACGTATGTTGTCTCTATTATGTTTTGCATTTGGAGAGCGATAAACAGACGAGGAATTCCGTTGCTAAAGTTCAAAGGTATGGATGTACTTTTGTTTCATATTTTGCTCTTGAAAATTAATATTTGAATTAAAATAATCGAGCTAAAACTCAGGAAAAATTAATCAATGTGTTTGATAATCTATTTCAATTTTTTTTATTAATCGTATAAAATATTCGATTGTTGTACCAATCGCGATTAAATCCTGCATCCCTTTTATGAACATGACATCAACACGTGTCATCACGTGTAAGTAAGTTAATTTGTGTGTGGTGAAGGTGGTGCCATGTGCGTGGTATTGTATGGCAACAGTGCATGGAACTGACAGGCGCTTATGCGCGCGCGCGCGCACACACACACACACACACACACACACACACAGGCGCAGACCAGCATTCCTCCCCCACCCCACCCCACCCCACCCCACCCGAAGTTGTCGAGCTTACAAGTTCTTGTCTACTTGCAGCTGGCTTTGTTCCTCCTGTAAACGCCTGGACTGTGCGCAGGGGCAGTGAATTATTTGAAGGCCGGAAGCTTAGCTTAACTTTATATGGCCCTGACAATGAAGATGCCTTGTATCAACGAGCACTCCAGGAAAGCATAGTGACTTTGTATGAAGAGCAAGATCGAATTGTCAACATGTTTAGGTATGTATATATTGCAGGATACCAGCTGTTCTACTTGGGAATGCAAACGTGGGTGTTGGTCAATTGTTTTTATGTTTTGGAATCCAGGACATTTATCAATTGTCCCCCAAAATTATTCCCTCTGCCTGTGCGTTAACACACTTTCAGGATTAAATGAAGGAGGTAGTTTCAAATTCTTTGTATGAGCCTTTGGAGACTGTTATATGTGAGGCAAGTATATGACAAAAATTGTAAAGTGTGACAGCACTTCTTCTATGAAGGTAGATCTGTATAGCACAAGGGAGATAATTACTCTGTGAAGACTTGCGCTTGAGATGGGCACTAGTCATTGTCTCTGGGATTTATCAAGAACATCCAGTGCACTTTTGTTAATTATAATAAATCTTTGAGTACCTGAACATACAAAAATCTTTCTTTAAATTCTACATTTGAAGAAGTGAGATTTTCTATAGATAAATAGGTTGGGCAGACTAATGTCTATTGAATACGCTATATTAAGTTTTTTTTCTACTTATAATCGCTGTAGATAGTCATCGTTACTTTAAAGTGTGTGTAGTTCTGGTTTTAAATTTTGATGAAAGGAGAGGTTTGTTGTAATTTGGGTTCCTCTATTACTTATTGTAATTATTGTGTTAAAATGTTTCCCCACACTTTCTTTCAGAGTGAGAGATGCATATCTGTTGTTCCCAGTTCTCCCGTAATTTCATGTTTCAGCTCATATCACGGAGACACCTCGGGGCCAGCTTCATCTGGATGTGAGGAGCCGAAGAAGGAGATTGAGGCTCCTGCTGCCCAAGCCTCTGGTGCAGGTGGAGCAGGTGATGGAAGCTGGGTGAAGAGCGGAAGGTAAGCCATGAGAGAGAGCGCAACCATGCACAGGCAAAAATTTCATTTTCAATCTACAATCTGAAAGAGGCAAATATTTGGTAAAAAAGTGTGAGGAAAATTAAAATGAGAGAAAAATGAGCTCATGAATGTATGCAGTCCATTTAAAAAGTTCTGGGACTAATTTGCTTTTCTTTTTCAAAAATAACATGAGTGTAGATAAAAATTTTAATTTAATTTTCCACATAATCCTCTCCTCATATTTACATTTTGCTATGCCCTAACAGCTGTTGGAATGACCTGGAGAATTCTTCTTTTGGGAAGGTTTTCAGAACCTTGGTTACGTGTGCTTTAATCGCCTTAAACACCTTCAAAATGTTATCCTTTGTTGTGGTTTTCAATTTGGGAAATAGAAAAGTGTGTGCTTGATCTGGTGAGTTGTAGTGACTGACTTTGGGGCCAGTATCAAGGAATAGGCTGGCACATTGTCGTGCAAAAGAACCCAGTCACCTGTGTGGTACTATTCTGGTCTCATGCATTAAATTCTCTCCAAAACTCGTCGGATGATTTGTAGAATGTTCGTCCTGGTAGCACAAACATGTTCTACATTTTCATTGGTTGTCGAGGTTGAAGGGAGCCCCTTTTGTGCATCGTCTTCCAGTGACTTGACTGTTCGTGAACCATGCATACAACTCAAAAACATTGCTTTGGCTTAAGCACCTGGCGGTACCACTGATTGTGAACTTCAAAATTATTTGAAGGGCTTTTTACAAAAACAACCTTAGTCCAAAATCCAAACTTTTTAGGAGAAGCAAAAATCTCTGCCCCTTCACTATTATTAAAAATGGCGTGGAATTTGAAACATAGGTAAATTGAAGTTTATGGATTATTGAATGCAAGTCCTGACTTTTATGTCGTCGTTGTGTAGAGACTTCATAAACTGAGGTTTCAAAATAGAGTGTAATGCCAAATGTTAGTACTTTTCATGAAATATGAACATCTACAGGTAATAATTTTAAACAAATTACAATTTCATATGCAAAGTAGGTAAGATTTTATTTTCATAGCTATTTAACGAACAATTTCAGGAACTGAATAAAAAGTTTAAGGCTAAATGCACCAAAAAATACTTGTAGGAAAATTCAATAGATCTCAGCACTGTCACAAGGGAATTTACTTTACCAATAAAATCTGAACCAATGGTCAGATTTTCGATCTGTAAACGACGATTGATGCTTTTTAAAGTAGAATTTACGCTAGGAAGCCCTTTTTTCATAAATCTGGCAAAAACTCGAATTTGAAATTGGTGCTCGAACGCCCGAGAAACAATTAAAAAATGGGGGCTTATAGCACGATGGCGACATATTTCCTGATTCTCACGGCGTGTCAATCGTGCAAATCGGATGAATAGGAGCGTCGTAAAGAGGATTTTCTAAAACACCTCGCCCCCCTTCCCCTTTCACCTGTTGCGTAATCCTCCCATTGAGGGCCTTCTCTTGGCATGGCCAGCCCTGGCAGCGTGCGGCCGGTCCTGGGCTGGTACTCCATGCAGGGGAGGTGAAACTGGCCAGCCCAGACAGTCTGCTTATGCTTTTGTCAATTTACTTCTCAAAAACATATTCCCCTCATATCAAACTAGTGATACTGTAACAAAAGCCAATGGTCTCGTATTATCTGTAATAGTAGTATAAAACTATTTATATAGTTCACCTATTTCCATCTTCCTTCAAATACCGTCATAAAATTGTTTTGAGTCATTACTCAAAATATCGATTCCGATTTGGAACTAATTATAAAAAGAAAATTGAACTAATTCTGTAAAAATTACCAATATTCCACTGCCTCTCATCATATTTTACATATATTTTACTTCTAAGATCTTCCGTTATCATTCCACTACCGGAAAAAATGAGCAGAAAATTTTGCTCAGTCACTTTTATCCTACGACTTGATTGTTTTTTTCCTGAAATGGTGTTTGTCTCCTTGATAGAATTCATTCTATGATTCTTTTTTCCCAAGTAAAATAGCTGAAGCTAATTTTAAAAATGTTTTCGTACTTTCGAACAAATTTGAAAATGCGGTAAAATTGCGTGCTGTCATTGCCGAATCAAATTATGTCTCCCATGAATATGATTCCTAAACCAGATGGATTTTGGGCGATGTTTCAATTTTGAATATAAAAATTTTGAAAATATATTTGTGTTTGCTTTTACAATCTTTGTGCATTTTTAATCCTTGTACCAGTGTCAACAGCTCACTACAAAAAAGCCACCTACAATACATGTACATTAATTTACAAGATGACATTTGTCAGATGACATTAATCAATTTAATTCGATACAAAAGTTTATGTCCCAAGAAAAATCTTTTCTACTGCACAATTAGACTATAATGACCATCCAAAAGGAAAGTAATATTCATTTTAAGAGTGACATGTAATGTAATATTTACTATTTGGACTGAATAATTTTAAAGTACCTGAAACAATTATTGTACGTCAGCTTCTGAGTCAATGACACCGTTCGTATCAGGTTTTTGACTAGTTTGCCCGATCTTTGAGCAAATGCTGAGATATAATTCCATTTATTTCTAATTTAATTCCATTTATTTCTAATTTAATTCCAATTTTGTCTAATTTAATTCCAATTTTGTCTAATTTAATTCCAATTTTGTCTAATTTAATTCCAATTTTTTCTAATTTAATTCCATTTTTTCTAATTTAATTCCTTTTTTTTCTAATTTAATTCCTTTTTTTTCTAATTTAATTCCATTTTTTTCAAATTTAATTCTATTTTTTTCTTCTAATTTAATTCCATTTTTTTTTCTAATTTAATTCCATTTTGTTAAAATTGTGCTATGCTAATTTTATGGACCTCGTGAGGAGGAGGTCCAGAAATTCCAAATTCGATGTGGTACTGAAACTGTGGTGCGCAAATAGACATCATCACGAATATCCTTACCAAGTTCACTAATATTGATTGGCTCGCTTGCTCACTGCCCTTTTTTGCTTTATACTTCCCACTCCATCTCCGCTATCACTACTACTGATCATTCTTGAGCCACCAAGTCACCTCAGTTTATTGGACTTGTTCGAAGGATGACCAGGTAAAACTCGGAATTATTTGGAAACACACAATTTTTCAAGAAAAATGCAGTTCTATACTTCGGTTACAGAGGATAAGAGAATGTCTGCCCCAATTATAGCACCAGTAGTGTGATTTGTGAAATAAAATAAACTACTGATGTTACAGAACGATACAGACTTTCTCAAACTAATTTGTTTCCTTATTTCTTTGCTTTGCTGCGGACTGTAGTTTCGGTTTTATTCCACCCTCTCCCCAGCTGCCATCTATTGCCACCTAAAGAATTTTTTCACATTTTTTTCAATTCTTCGTATCCCTAATGATAGAACCGAATCATGACTTTAAAAATACTCTAGAAACAAAACCTTGTCGTACATGTACATTTTCGTTGAAAATATTTAAGAAATTAATGTTTGAGTGTTTCTGAAAATGCAGAACTTACAGTTTAGTTTCTCAGAATACTTTTTAATTTTTGAGGAACTTTATGAGTAGAGACTGGATTTTTATGTAATTACATATTTTTGTCTTTCTACTTGCCAATCTAAAAATTTTAATTTTGGCCAATCGTCGCCGTCCTAACTCAATTTCAACATTTTTTGTTACATATTTTTACATATTTAGTACAATTTTACTTATTTTGCCCTTTTCACAAAATATTTTTTTTATTCTATCATTTTTGTTCAGTTGTATGACTCATTTTTATGAAAATAAGTGTTAAAGAAACACTCTTATTTCCTATATCATTACTGCGTTCTGTCTACTCAAGCTTCTTTACATGAAGACTCGGGAGGATGTTCTCAAAGTTCTTCTCGTCTGCATCAGATACCTCAGTGCCGGGAAGTGCAAGTAAGCGACTGAGATTAGTTTCACCTTGAGGTGTTAGAAGTATCAGTGATGCTGCGTCTCGTGAACTTTAACCTTAATTTCTGAGAATCTTTGCTGATTGTTGGCATGTAACTCTTCGCTGAGAAAGCTACATGCTGCAGTGATAGTTTGCTGATCGTAGATATCGCCAGCTTGCAGGATGGTTTCTATTGCGTCTAGTCTATCTGCTAAACGACCGTACTCAATAAATGTTTGTCACTTTTATAATTTATATTGTATTTTTTTTTATAAATGTAATTTTGTATTATGTAATTGTTCATTTTATATTTGTGTACTTTAATATTACATATTCTTATTGTTTTCATTACATATTTATCTACATATTTTGACATTTCATACTACATATTTTTTCAGTTTCTATTTATTAGATATTAATTAAACAAACACAATAATGTATACAAGTTGTTGGTAATTAAGGACGTGAGAGAAATGTCAAAAAAGGATGTAAGTTTTGAAAAATAAAAGAAGAATAAAGCAATAGGGTTTATGCTATCTTACACTGGACAATTAGAAACATCCCTACCAAAAGTTTGAAAACAATTTGGAGCGTTTTTTGAGTAATTCTGGTTTTAAGTATTTTTTTTTATGCACATATTTTACGCAATATTACATGAAAACTAATTAAATGTTCAATGAAATGTGCAAGATGTCAATGAAAGAACTAATTAGGGAAAACAAATTTAATTGATTTTAATCTACTCTTACAACAATTGTGAAGAAAAAAATTGGTGCCATTTTTGAGAAAATGTAAAAGATATCCGTAGGGTGTCATTTAAAGTATCCTGAAATTTCAAACAATATTTTTCGAACTTGTAAAGCTTTGAGAGAGGACAGATCGACCAGTGAATATTCACTTTGAAGAAAATTCTAGGAATACTTGTAATTTTGACTCTAGTGTTGTTAGATGGGCAGATAGGCAGGTCGAACGTTTTGAAAATAACAAAACAAAAAACTACCACACTTTTTCGATATCAGAGGGCCCCAAAACCTACATTTCGTTGAAATCTCTAAATCGATTTTCTGCATCATTACATAACTTTCGCTATACTACATATATTATTCAGCATTGTAATGAATATTGCATCAATTTGCTGCGCGGATTGCGTCATCTGCCAGGACCCCCCGAACTGGATGGTTCGGGGTTATTTGCAAGTGGCATAGAAATGTTGCACCCATTCCCGATGGCTCAAGGCGATCGCCAGCCAGGTATAAATGCACCGCTGCCCCTGACCGCAAGTTAGTCGGAAGTAAGCAGTCGCGAGTCAGTTATTGTATGTAAACAGTCTGGTAGTAAACAGTCAGTCCATCTGGGTGTCTGCAGTGGAAGCTGAGCTGTGAAGTGTGCATTTTGGTAAACAGCAGTGCAATGGACCCTGATCAGCGCAGTGAGTTGTGGTGTGCGCAGTGGACCGTGGACAGTGCATTGGACTGGGTGATTCTGTAAAAGAAGTGATCAGTAAAAAAAATTATCAGATTGCAGTGAACTGTGTAAATAAATAATCAAGAGAATGGAGTCATGTGTAAGGATAATAATCAAATGAAGAACACAAGGACTGTGTAATCTTCCTGGGAATAGGTCAATTATTTTAGTGTAGCATTAAGAAGCATTGTGTACGAATAAACATCTTTCATAAATATTATGTGTGGTTTAATTCACCACCAAGAAATGTTATAGTATATTCGTACATATATGATAATGTAAAACCAATGTTGTTATGCGGAAAATACGAAAACATTATCTAACAAATTTCAGTAGTCAAACAAACCTTAAAAAAAAATGACCTTACATTGTTGTGTTAAGTTACTTTATTTTGGGGTAATTAACCTGTTTGGTTAAAAAGAAGTCTGAAATGATAAAAATAAACTTTCAATTAACTCAATTTGCTGTTTTGTTTGTGAACCATCTTTTTTTCACACAATAAAATATGTTTTTGAAACTTCACTGTTGTAGTTATTGGAAACAAAAAGTTCACTTTTTGTATGCAAGTGTAGGACATACAAGACATATGAAGGAGTGCCAATTCTTTTCAGGTCAAGGAATGGGACGATGGTTGGTACAGCATCAGAGAGTGAAGACTTAGGCAAAGGAAGGTGCTTAGATGCAGGGGATAGTGCCTACAGTAGGAACAGCTCCCTAGAAAATAATGGGAATGGAAAGTAAGAATTTATATTTTAATTTGTTTTAGACCTTTCTTTAATTCAGAATTGTCAGTTATTGCTAACTAGTATTCTTCCTCTTGAGAAATAGAAATTTAATCTCTTTATTCAGCTTTATCATATCATTGAACCTTCACATTAAATTGGAATATCAAATATTTTAATTCTGATTACAGTTAGAATCTTGATAATTTTGCTTAATCTTGCTATTGATATATGGAATTAAAGAGTTATTTCTTGTACGCTTTTACAGAGAGAAAAGTAATTTGACTAAATGTGTCTATTACAGAACACAAAGTGATAAAAACAACATTGAATATGATATCAAGAAAAGGTTGGTAATTTCAAATATTAATTTGTTTTCTTTTCTTATGTTTTGACCATTTCACAACAGATACTTTTAATACATTCTTGCATTTATATTGGTAATTAAAAGTAGATAGAACTGAGAATGTTTCTTGGCGAAGTTATTTTATTTGCCATAATTTCTGCCTTCTTCATTTTACCCATGAATTTTGAAAATTAGAAATTTCTTTAAGAGAAAGCGTATTCAAAGACAGAAACTGCTGTCTTTTTTACTAACATCTTGGAGTGCAAAGTTTTGGGAGATAAACATTTCCTATGACAATAAATTATATAATTTTGATTGCATATTCATTGTGCAGTATTTTGTTTATTGACTTCTAGGCCTCTTTAGAAAGAAGCACAGTCACCTTTTTCAGCTAACTAGGTACTTCTGATGTTGTCAAGTTGTATAAATTAGTTGTTGGAGTGTCTCAATGTGACAGTAATGGATTTTATAAAAGAGAATTGTTCTTCCATGAGTGAAAATGTATAAAATAAGTAACAAGTGTACCTTGTGTAGTAATTCTACTGCTTGTCCTGGGTTTCAATCCCCGTACGATAACAGTAGAATTGTTTCTGCACAAAGCTGGTTGGGGTTAGGTTTTTTGAATTCTGGCATTTTCCGTCTTTAATTCCACCATTACTTCCCATCATTTATAATTTCAGCTACACCCACCCATTAGTTGAAGTCCTGGGGACAATAACATTCTATGTCACTTTACAAACATTTTGAGAAAAAGGAAAGTAAAGGTTTAGACATTGCATTCTACTCATTGGGATAAACAACATTCATTTATGACTCATCATTGAGATACATCAATGGGGCATTGAAATACACTAATATTTTAATTTCATCAAAAATGTGGCATATTATTGCCCCAAGGTCTTCAACTCATATCATTTATTTCATGTGGGCCAAAAGTTGACATAGGAAACAGAATTCAGTAGGTAAGGTGATGTGAATGTGGAAATTGCCTTGTATCCCCAAATAAAAACTCATCAAATGTGGCGATTATTTTCAGTGTAAAAGAAGAAAATAAGGAAGCAAAGCTGGAAAGTCTTGGATTTAATAAATCAAGAGCAGCCCAATTTGCTCAGAGAGAAACTTCACGAAAGAGGTGTGTATCTGTAGGGCCTTCTCTCTCGTCTGCTCTCTCTCTCCTCCTCTCTTCCTCACTCTCTCTCTCCTTCTCCGTTCTCTTCTTCCTCTCCGTCTCCCTCTCCTCTCCTCTCTCTTCACCTTCCCTTCTCTCCCCCTCCCCTTCTCTCCCTCTCTCCCCTCTCCCTCCTCTCCCTCTCCCCCTCTCTCTCCCCTCTCCCCACCTCTCCTCTCCTCTCCGCCCCCTCGTCTCCCTCTCCCCCTCCCTCTCTCTCCTCCCCCTCCCTCTCCACTCGGTTTCCCTCTCTTCCCCCTTCCTCCCTCCCTCTCTCCCCCTTCCCCCTCTCTCCCCCCCCCCACCCCCCTCCGCCTCTCCCCACCCCCCCCCCCCGCCCCGCCCCCCCTCTCTTTCCCCTCTCTCTCCCCTCCCCCCTCCCCTCTCTCCCCTCTCCCCTCCCCCCTCTCTCTCCCCTCCCCCCTCCCTCTCTCTCCCCCTCTCCCCTCCCTCTCTCTCCCCTCTCCCCTTTTCTCTCTTCTTCCCTCCCCTTTCTCTCTCTCCCTCCCCTTTCTCTCTCTCCCTCCCCCTTCTCTCTCTCCCTCTCCCTTTCCCTCTCCTCTCCGTTTCCTCTCTCCCCTCTCCCTTTCTCTCTCTCCCTCTCCCTTCTCTCCTCCCTCCCCTTTCCTCTCTCTCTCCCTCTCTCCCTACCCCCTTTCTCGCTCTCTCCCTTTCTCTCTCCCCCTTCGCTCTCTCCCTCCCCCTCTCTCCCTCCCTCCCTCTCTCCCCTTTCCCTCTTCCCCCTCCTCATCTCTGGTCTCTAGTCTCGTCAGTCTCTCTCTCTGCCAGTCTCCTCTCTCTCCTGCCAGTCTCTCTCTCCTCGTCGCCATCTCTCTCTCTCTGCCAGTCTCTCTCTCTTCTGCAGTCTCTTTCATCTCTCTCTTCTTGCTCCTTTTCATCTCTCTCTCTGCTCTCTCTGCTTCATTCTCTCTGTCCGTCTCTCTTTTCATCTGCCATCTTCTCTCTGCTCTCTCTTTTCCCAGTCTCTCTCTTGCTCTACTGTTCCATCTCTCTCCTCTCCGCAGTCTCTCTCTCTCTCCAGTCGTCCGTCTTCTTTTCCACTCTCACTCTCTTTGTCCAGTCTCTCTTTCATTCTCTTTCTGACCGTCTCTCTTTCATCTCTCTCTGCCGTCTCTCTCTCTCTCTGCCAGTCTCCTCTCCCTTCTCTCCATCTCCTCTCTGCCATCGTCTCTCTCGCCTCCAATCTCTCCGCCTTTCTCCCCCTCTCTCCTCCCCTTCCCCCTTGCCTCCCCTCCCTTCCCCCTCTCTACCCCCTCCCTCTCCTCCTCCCCCTGCTCATCCTCCCCTGCCCCCCTCTCCTCCTCCCTGCCCCTCTCTTCTCGTCCCCCTCCCCCTTTCCTCCTCCCCTCCCCGTCTCTCTCCCACTCCCTTTCCTCCTCCCCTTCCCCTCTCTCCCACTCTCCCCTTCTCTCTCCGTCTCTGGGAAATTTATTTCTAGAAATGATTGGCACCCTGTTCAAGAAAAACAAATGGCAAATAAAAATATATTATAAAATATTAAATACGTTCTTCGAAGTTGTATCTTTAAGTAATGTCATATACAATTTTTATAATATATAAATATTTTTTACATGTGATAAGTACAATTTAGGGAATTTTAAAGATCATAGTTTCTCAGAATCAGCTCCAATTTTTTCTTGAACATAGCACTATATGCTTATAGAAATGACAGGTCCCATTTTCGTTACATTTTGTATTTTTGTAAATTTCAATTTTTTTCAGCATCTTCCTACAACTACAATATTGAAGATCATGATTATTTTTCTTAATGAAATTTACTCTTGAAGACTAGATCTTGTAGTAATGTCAATGAAAATCTCTGAATTTTAAAAACTTGCAAATGCAAATGTTCAAACTCCTTTTTATATCATTGTGTTTACCTGTGAGGCTGGAGGGTAGGGCTAATATGAGTTGGAATCCCAGTGTGGATAAAAAATATTGCTGGTTGGAAACTTTGGCAAACTCAAGTAGAAGATTCCACTTTGAACAAATTTTACTGTATTACATAGCCCTTGCAAATAATGCGAGAAAGACTGTGGTTGTGTTGAACCACAAATTTATTATTATTATTATTATTATTATTATTATTATTATTATTATTATTATTATTATTATTTTAAAATATATTTATAAAATTATGTTTTTGCTTTTCTTTTGTCTCCTTAGGGAAGATAAAAGAAACAGTGGACGATTTGAAAAGCGGCAGCTACAGGAACCAGTTATCTCCTCAGGCAAGTTGTTTTAAATCTCTTTAGGGTTAAAATGTGCAGTAACAAAAGTAAGTGTAATTGGAATTAAATGTGTTACTGAAAGTACTACATCAAATTTTGGAATTAGATCTTGTGTTGTCTATGTTGTACTGAACTTCTTTTTGCTTGATGTGCGAGAAACGTGTGATCACGCCAACAGTGACTTCTTAGTAAAATGCATTAGCAGCAGTTTTTTTAGTGACATAATGTTCCCATGTTGCTCCCAGACTCAGAATAAATAAATAAACCAGCTGAGTATTTCTGCCCAGCATTTATGACGTGGAACTTCAAAATTTCATCTGTTGAAAAGTATTCAGAACAGGTATCAGATAGAAAAATATCAACAGTGTAGAGCTGAAATCTTCTATTCGCTCTAAATTGCCCCCTGAAAGAACATGCAGTGCGCACATTGCAAGGGCTGTAGAAGCAATGCTGCCTACAGCCCTTACAGCCCCACAATGAAGATTGGTGCAACATATAGCAATGTTAGATGGCCCTTTATGCAAAACCTTTCAGGTATAGGAACTTATTTGCCAAAATTAACACTTGTACAGATCCATTTTTCATTGTACCACTTGTGCTAGAATGTGTCCTCAAAGTCTGATTTTTCAGTTTTGTGAATTTTGAGGTTCTAAAATTGGCATAAGATACTGAGAATTTTAGCGTGTTTTGCTTCTGGATGAAATACTTAAAACAATATTAATTATAGAATGTTGACAGTAAAAATAATATAAATTGGATAAACAATCAATGTGTCCACTAATTTTCCTACAAATTGTGCATTAAAATGTATTTTAAACATAAAGAAAAGTCTTGGAAAAAGCAAATCAACTTAGCAGTAAGATATTTACCCTTCTGCACATTTTGACCCATTAGAATTTTCCGCCCGTTGTTAACATTCTATGGCTGACGAAGTCTCTTTCTGTGCTACTTTTCCTGTAGGTAGATACTGATAATTAATTCATATGATAAACTTAAATTTTAGGTTTCGCACCATATTTTAAATGAACTAATGGAAACATTAAGAAAAAAATATAAAAATTTTGAAGATGCCACAATAATTTTAAGAGTTAATTATTGCATTGTAACAGTTTATTAATATAATGAATTTTGGATTAACAAGCAGTTGTCGAAAGTTGGTTTTTGTGATGTTTTTTGTTCATAAAAAACCAACAAGAATTGTCGTGTGATATAAGAAAAGGAAAAATGTTTTGCTTTTTTAATTTTTAATATTCCTTCATAGGTTCAATTCCATACTTTCACATCAAAATTCAAATCATTAATTTTTGTTTAATTAATTATTTTAATTATACATTTTATGACTTTATGCCTTTAATAATTATGGTATAAACTAATGTACTCAGATGTTTCCCTTTAGTTTGTAGAATGAGCTGTGTGCTGAAATCTACTTCATGATGCAAAAGTAAATAGTTCTCTATTATGGAAGACATTTTCTTTTGCTATCACCTGAAAAATTAAACAGACAAAGAAATGGATTTGAAAGAGTTGTTGTGTCCTGGGCATGTGATGTTGGGCAGTAAGGTTACAAGTTTACCATAGTGTGATTTACTTATGATACCACCTAGGATTTATATGCGAAGGTCCTCGGTGCCGTTTCAAATGTCTGAGAGTGTGATTGTTCACTGGGTAATAAAATATAAACATGGGAAACATCTGCAGTGAACATAGTTGGTATTAATCGTGCAACTTCTCTTGAACAATGCTTCCCCCTCTCAGGCACAATAAACAGTTGAAGGCAAAATCTCACAGTGAGCACTGATCACATTCCGAACACTTCTTCACTGGTGCTGAGTAAAACTATTTTCTGTTGAAGACGAGAACTTCTGTCTGCGATTTTCTCCAAAAAATATAAAGATCTCTAGAGATTGGCATTGCTTCGTAAAATCTAATGGCCCATTTCCTAACTAATACCCGTGCTTCGCGCACATTTCTTTTATCCATTGTTCCAGAAAAGTTGCATGAGTATTACCACTTCCTAAAGCAGGCCCAACCCAAGTAATTAAGTGCATATGCATGCATAATAGCTCTTTCCAATTTGGAGTAGAGGGGCTCGCTTTTGTGTTAAACAACAGTATGCACATGTAAGCACAATATAGCACAAAGATTTCCTGGAGTTTGTTTACATCTGGGTTTTTCTGAGAACAAATGGATAATAAGCAAAAATATAGTATTGTGATTCTATGAATAAATTTTAAAATAATTTAATATCCCCCTTTTTTTTGGTAGTTTGGGTTGCAGTGTTCCTTTCTGCCTTGTAGATTATAGAAAGTATGGATACTGTTTGTTTCAGATGGAGATTCCATTCATCGCATATCTGCCCAAACCCGTCACATCAGATTTTCTAACCCCCTTGTACAACCACCAAAATGTGAGAGGTATGTAGGTTGAAATAACGTTTTACAAACATTGTTGACATATCTTTCTTTGTAATATGTCAAAGTAAATTATTATTACAGCAGAAAAGAACAAGTGTGTTCTAGGATAATTTTATTGAGCAATTATGTAAAAAGAAATTACGTGAACTGTGAATACAGTAATTTTTCTTGAATTCATTTGGGATTTGATGTAAGCAATAATTGATGGATTTATAAATTTATTAAAAAAATCTCTTTAAAAGGATAATTGAATGTTCCTGGTTATTTTGATCACAAATAGAAATCAGTTGAGGCATAATATAGGCATGCAACTGTTACGAAATAAATCTTTGCAATTGAAAAGGACAGCAATTTCAAACACCAAAATTATCTGATAGTGAATATTGTATACAACACCTAAATGTTGCAAATGCAAAGAAACCATTTTTTCATTGTTTGTGAGTGCGAGGAGAGGTTGGGGAGATGAAAAGAGTTGAAAATGTTTTCTTTGTGCCAGAATCATTCTTGTGAAATGTGTACATCAGGGTTAATTTCTCTCGAAACTCATTTTGCCATTATACTGAGCTAAAGCTTAAAGGCACATAAATCGAAAAAAAGGAATGAAATAGGAAATATTTAAGCAGCTGGAGGCATTTTGCAATTGTTATGGTTGTTATGGTTTGAAGCAGAATTAGACAAAAACTACTAATATTTTGGGGAAAATGTGTAAAATCTTTCAAAGAGCCAATATTAATGAGGACATTGCATTAAATAATTTTTTTTTTTTTTTTTTTTAATAATGGTGTAAAAAGTCCTGCAATGTGTGGAATATTAGTGATTTTTAAAAAGAGAAAGGTTTATTGAAAGTCTCACTTTTACCATATTTATCAGCAAACGTTGATCTACTTGAAAAAGAAAAATTAGAAAATATTTTGAATGATTTTTGAAAAATAATTGAAGAGCTTTATGCAAGAAAGTGTTAACTGAGAAAAGGACCAGAAGAGAGAAATAAGGTGTAGTAAACTTGCATGGAACTTTTTTAGATTATTGGAAATGATTTATTTTTTATATTCTTCTTTGTTTCCATGGCCTAAACTATTTGGTGTACCATCTGTGCTCTTAACTCTAATATTACTACAAAATATTAACATCTTTTATCGAAGAAAATGGTGACACCGATTGCCAGTATTGGAAACATAAAGAAACACGTTGTAAGAAGGTATTAACTCTACTCTGGGAATATTTTCTGATAGAAAGTTATCTGAAAACAGTGCTTATATTAATAATTACAGTATGTATTATTAATTATTATCATCTGAATTAAGTAGAAAATGTAATTTTCTGAGGGAATTGGCACTCATGTTAAGTATCACACAACAATTATTTATGGTTATTTTTCTCACATACTCTTGCTTGAAATTTTTGTTAGAAATTGAATATTGAATATATTTTCCAAGTTACCATACATTAATACCTAAATATTGTTTACATGAAATAGTAAAGGATCCATAGATACTCTGGTGAAGGCAGTTATTGCCTGTGCGCAGGCTTGGATTAAACTAATTCAATTATATAATATCTTTCTGGTGGACCTATAACTGTTTCCTCACATATCATTTTACAAATACATGATAGGCAAATAGAAATTAAAAAATGACTAGAAAATGAGAGAATAAGAAAAATGTACCAAAAAACTCAACAATCAGAAGTAAGAGTGTATTTCTTCTCTTGATAAAAATATGAGATGTCTCCTCAATGACTTATCATTTATTATTTGCGGCACATTATTTTGTTATAAAGCATCACTCAAATCGTAGTATGCTTTCACACTCGCTGTATTATGTCGTCTATTTCACATTTTTTTAAGTTCTCATTGGTGTTGTGTTCATCTTCGAAATTAAAGAAAAAGTTTTATTCAATACTTTATTCATTCAAATAGTACTAATTTATTTCCTCTCTCCAGGGACTGGTATAATTCTCGAAATACTCTCAGTATTTTACAGAAAAGTAGACTCCTGAACTTGTGGTTTCCAGCAACGACACCAATTCACAGGAGCCAACCAACTCTTGCAACAGTTTACGATCCCATACAAAAAAGGTGCCAACTGTTGAGTTAACACAGTCTTGCTTGTAAACTCTGAGATAACACCTTCTTGCACACACTGTTTTTAATGTGCGATGGCGTATTTTATGTGCGACACCTTCACATCAAATATTTTGAAAAATATTGTAATTTTAATCAAAACGAGTAAAACGAGTAATAGGAAACTTCCAGAAAAGTTTTTATGATAAAACTAAAAATCACAAAATTTTGAGTCAACACCTTCATGCACTAAGTTCTTCAAACGTAAAATGTAGAAAGTAATCGCATGACTTGTGTCTGTCAATCTGTCTGCTTCTTATTTTTAGGCCCCTTCCAGTTCACCAGTTGATACAAATGAGATATCGTTCAATGCATTTCAGTAGTGAACTAATGTTGAGTTTATTCACTGTAACATCTTTCATAAGCAGCATTTTGGTTCTTATTTTAAGTTGGTTAGAACAGTAGTCTTTTTGTTAAAAAATATGTTTCTGCTTAGTCCATCATTGTGAATGGTTGTTTTGATGTGTAAATTTTAATGCTAAGTGAGGTCTAAGCGACAACAGTCGTAAGCAAACTGAGACCCTCTTTCCCCCATTCTGCTTCATTAGTATCATGCCTCATTAACATAGTATAGGAATAAACATAATTATAGTTAAATTGTGACCACTCGGTCTCTTTAAGAAATAAGCTTGATCTGCTTGTTGTACTGGGAGAGATTGTTGTACTGGGCTCACGGCATCAACTGATGTGACTACAGTCCCTCTAACTGGGAGGTCCTAGTTTCGAGTCCTGATAATGACAGGAATTTTGGCACTAGCTACCCTGCTCGGTCAAATTTATTAGCTATCTGGATGAGAATTCTAGAGTCCGGCTACTCTGATTGGTAGATTTCTGTGGTTTCTCCGATCAACACCCCGTGAATAATGGACCATAACAAACAGGCCACGGACCATGCATAATCTTTCCTTTCCCTTCCTTGTCATCACTCCTTACACACATTCACTTCACTACCACATACGCCGGGAGACCTGTTAGGAGCATTAGGCTTGACCCGTCTGGGGCAGTGCTTGCTGGTGGAAGATAATTGTTTAGGGAAAACCTCACTAGCTGACAATAGCCCATCGCTAGATCTCACCATTCAGCAGGGGAAAGACTTCCGCCACCTCACAAGCAAAAATGTGCACTACACTTACTGGACTAATGACTTTAGTAGTTGATGTGCCCACAATAACTAACAATCAATCAATCTGTTTGTGTCTAGGTCTTGGAGTGAAGAGTTGGATGAGAGCGATGAGGATCCATGGTTGGAACCAAACAAACGACCAGATTTTCCTTGTGAGACTACTGCCATTTGTGATACTGGATGTGAGAAACTATTTGTTCCTAAGAAATGTGACCGTTCTGACCAAGGAAGTAAGCACATCCCCGTGAAAACAAGCATGGAGGTGACAATGAAGTCTCCAGAGACTCCAGACTTAAAGGAAGCTGACCGTGAAGGTAAGAAGGGAGAGGCAAAAGCAAATATATAGATATCAATTTTAAATTATAATAAAACATAACTTGTTTATTTTTTTATTCATGAGAAAACAGTAAAGTAATAATTATGATTTTAAAAATCCTAGTATGCAAATACGTTATAGCAATTATTCATTATGTGAAGATAGAATATTTAGAATCCCTTTACAGGTTTCTGTTAATATTATATTAAAGATAGTATTGGATAGAAAATTTGTGTGATGCATCATTTTAAAAGGATAATTAATTTTTTTACCTCCTTTTTTATATTGATTGAGTTGATTACCTGAGGTAAATCATGATTTTGCTGGGGACTTGGAGATCCATGAACCCCATGTCCTAGTCTGTTGATTTCGGCTGTTCTGCTTACACTTTTCTCTGATGAACTGCCCCCTCTGTCTACTTTGCTTGCCTACCCCTGCAATAATGGATCCTCTCGCCTCTTTCCCAGTCCTCCCCTCCCTCCCCCAATACTCACAGATCTTGAAGTTTTTTAAAGAAATGTATCTTTGCTTGATGAAATTCAAAAACAGCCTCTCTCAATTGATTTCAGACAAGCCCCCTCCATGGATTTCAGACAGCATCTGCCTTTCTTATCTCTGCCTTCAGTTACCATCCCTTGTGTGTGTACCCTTTGGTCATGGCACTATGCCGCTATTGGTTCCATAGCTACTTCTACAATGTTCTATGGTGTTGTGGATACCTATTAGTCAGTCCATTTCCCACTTTGATGACCTACATAAACTGATCGTTCCAATATTTTGTTATTGTTTATCTTGTGTTGATGATGGGTGGCTGGACATCTGATGGAAGCCAGTGTGCTGGGTGAAGAATTACAGCTGGTCTCAAAGGATTAGCAAGGGGGTAGTTGCGAGACAAATAATTATCTGAGTTGTCACGGCAACACGGGTGTCAAGCTTGCGAGGCAGTTTAAGTAGGTCGAGAGACTTCTTTGGTTTTAAGGATGGGTCTCGGACTCTTTGTTGTGAGTGGGAGGGGTGCTTGGGAAGAGCAGTGCTGTCATGCTTTGTGGAGTTTTGTGTGTCTTCGAACTCCTTTTGAGTTGAATGCCTAACCCTGATCAAAGAAATTAGAAAAATAACCAGTATGTCCAGAGGAAGTCTGTGCCATTTCCTGCCACCACTAGATATTTTTTTATTGCACAGTTTTAGTAATTGAACCACTAAATTAAATTCCTAGACTGTTTTGAAATTTCCATTCTGCAGGAATTGATGTATTTGTAATTCAGTTCATGGTAGCCGTAGTTGTGAGACCAAATAAGGCCTCGAAATGTTTGATGTGATAGATTGATATCAATGAATCTGAGAAGAAAAAGGGAAAAAAACTTCCTGTCTTGAATACTGTAGATACTCTAATATAACCTGCATTTTTTTTTCCTCTCCTTTCTTCCACGTGGCAGCATGGTAGTAGAAAGTGTTCGTTGAGATGCAGTAAATGTTTACCAGTCATTCTCACAGATCTTTCACATACAAAGAAAAACTATGTATAATATGCTTAGATATTTATAACCTGTCACTTGACGTAAATCAGTTGTTGCTGTGTCAACCAAACAGGAGCTTGAACGTCATCGAAATCGTCTCCGTAATCGAGAATGTCTCTGTGGTGACATTTAAGTTCCCAATTGGTTGAAACCGTCAACTGAAGTGCCAGGTTATAAAAACCCAAGAAAAGAAGCAGAAGAAATCTGTATTCGTGAAGAAGGAAGAAAATATAGTGTAGATGTAGAAGAAAGTTGGCTGGCCTGGTACTAAAGTGGTCTATGAAACATTTTGGCTGATATCCAGGTTGTAATTTTGATCTGAACGGGTGAGCTACTGTACATTCTAAAGTGGTCTTTGTATTATTTGTCATTGTAGATGCTGCATAATGAAAGTACCACTTTCATATTGTCAGATGGTTTTAATGTTAATTGGTTTTCGAGTGGCCTATAAGTCACATTGTGATTTATACCGTAGACCACTCTAGTTCCTGGCTAGCCAGTTGTATTCGTGAGTGGCGTAAAAACAAAACGCCACTTGGCCTAACCAGTGTTAATTGGCAGGCCTTTCGAGGCCAGACATTTTTGGTTTTAAAAAGAAAAAATTAAGTCCCCTCCCTCCCCAGATTCATTTCCGTAAAATTAGAGTGCTAGAGGTCTATTTGGGGGTGGAGTATATTCCAGTATATACGATAAGTCCTGGGCCATCTTAAATGTACCAGTAAATGTTTGTGACATTCAAGGTATCTACTACAGAATAACTATTTTTGGAGAATCACTTTGATAATTTCCTGCCAGGGTGCTGCTTCATAATGTTCGAATTCGTTATGCTATGGTGGTGGTGATGAATGGTATATTTTGAATGATTGGTGTGAAGATGATGTTTAAAAACCCTTTTAATGGGTTCCTGAATGTTTATTGGAAGCTTATCTGTTATGATTATACGTATGTAAATATTGTGTGTGTTATGTAAGTAGGTCTTCTTGATGGAAATGAAGGAATGGTTTTGAATGTATGTAATATATTTCTTGTGTGTTGTATAGGTGACCTTGAAGTTTCTACACTTGGTGATTCTCAAGAAAAGGAGAAGAAAATGAAGGTAATTTCCTTTTATTACAAGAGTCTATATAAAGTAAATAACACCAAATCTATAGTTTATGAACTCAGAAAATTATAGGAAAACCCGGTTTTTACTTTCCTGCATTAAAAAGCCAGTATTTACAATCCATTCTCTTCTCTCAATTTACAACTTAATAAGAAGATTACTTCCCATCTTTTACATCAATTTTTTAAAATTTTTATTTATTTATTTATTTATTTTTTGACAAAATCTGGGACAGAAAAAGTGGATAAATCCTGTTCCAATATGAGATATTTACTACATATGTATGTAACAAACTCAAAAAAGTCTCAGTTTGGTTCAGACCACTCGGGGAATTTAAGACATTTTTGTCCCAACGTAGATAATAAGTATAAGTAAATCCAATATCCATATGTAACACATATACCTAAATTATCATATGGATAACATACATGTGCAAAAAGGCTACTACCTGTTTATTACTGTTACTATTACTGTTATTATTAGAAATAAGTAAATTAAATTAACTGTTTGCAAGTTAAGATAGGATTGAAAGAAAACCGAATACTTTTTTAACTTCAGTGTTTCTTTTTATATTAAAAAATGGAGCTATTGGCAAGTTCCTTTAAACCTGAGTGCCTTGTCCAAAAAAGAAATATGAATGTATCAGAAAGGTTAAGGTTTGCCACAAGGCTATTTCAACTGTTGGCATAGTTGCAGTAACATTGCTAGTAAATGAATGTGCTTTTGTTAAAAAAAAACATGAATTGACCTAAGTGCTGATTAGGTTTTCGTGTAAAAATTGTACTAAAATTTTATGTTTTTGGGGGTCTCAAAATAGTGTCAATCAAGGATCATATATTTTTTAATTACAGTCTATTCAAGCCCAATTCTCCTAAGATTTAACAAAAATTTTATTAGTATTTGACTGTCTCGAACCAACTAACTAATTGCAGATCTGGATCTTATGTTGTTGTGTTTTTTAATTTATTTTATGTATGTATTTATTTTTGACAGAAAATGCGTGAAGAGCTGGAATTTTTGGATAACCGCCTTAAGCAGCTGAGTTCGGCCCTGGAGCAGACCCATCTCAAAGACTCTGTTTCGCAAGAATGCTCAAGCACAAAGACTGAACCTTCAGTCTCTAGGGAGAGGCAAGAGGTACCAGCGTCACCAGTTCTCACGTCAACGTTGCAAGTTCCTCTCACATCAACATCGCAAGTTCCTGTCACGTCAACGTCGCAAGTTCCTGTCACGTCAAAGTCACAAGTTCCTGTCACGTCAAAGTCACAAGTTCCTGTCACGTCAAA